GTAAATTGGCCAGTGTGCTGCACACAAAGTTTGATGCTGAAGTTAGGTCGTTCGACAGACTGAAGTTTTTTATTCAAATCTTGGCACGTGTACCAGTCTCGGTGGCACTTGAACACAAACACGAACAAATCTGCGGAATGCATCGCATCGAGATATTCTGACTTCCTTTTAAATAAGGAATTTGTTTTCGATGTGCCTGCCGCACTGATTTAAAAATATGAAGTGGTCCATTCATATTTTGCTACTTGTAAACTATATCTGTCGACAAACTTCGTATTACGATCGAAAAATACTTTTGGGTGCCAGTTACGGTGTGGTGAAAACCGAGCTGCCTTGTGAACATTAGTTACCTGTTTTGTAATCGTGGAACTCAATGAAACTGACCTGCAATATGTACACTTCTTGATTCCTTTCAATCAACAGAATGGCTCGTTCGTTGCGCATCTGGGCACATCGTTCTTTGGACTTTTTCAAACTCAAAGTCTCCGCCTCGGTCTGATTGAACATAAGATTGATTCGATGAATGGAGCGGCGCATTTGTTCCCGCCTGGAAAGTTGTTCGCTATGAATATGGAGCATTTTACACATTTCGGCACGTTTGTGATCCCGCTGTACGATGGCATTGCCGTACAGGGTTCGTTCGCGAATCAATTCTTGATCATGATGTTGCAATTTGTAAATAATAATTTCGGCTTCGTTAGCGTGAATACGCAAGCGTTCCCGAGTGTCAAGGGCCAATTTGATTGAGGTTTGCAAAAGACTGACACACTTGTTTCGTTCTAATTTCATTTTTGTGTACAGGGCAGACACATCGGCTAAACGACTCTGAAGAAGGATTAAAATTTCAACACATGATATTGAAAAGAAACAAACATGAGTAGTGCATTATTTCTTATCTAGCGCTTTCAGGATTGGGTTAGATAAATTGCAGCCTGATCCATAAAAGTTGATTACTTGCAAAAACGAATATGGCCCTGATAAGAAAAATGTGCCCCAGTTTGACACCATATTCATTTTCATAGTTTTCCTCGAATCAGCCTTTGCGTTACGCAACGATTACACGGCTAGGAGATAAGAATAGAAGGGAATAGACGTGGTGTTTCCTACTTTTTACCAAAATAGTTAGAAGCTTACTTTTCATGGTGCAGGACGGTGTACGGACCTTAGTTCAGATCACTTTATTTCCTAGTCACACTCGGATTCATCTCAAGCACAAACAGATTTGGTTTGAACCAGAATGGTAACTGGATGGAAAACCTGAAGGCAAAATCTCAACAAATTATATTTTATTTAAAGTAAAATATGACACACCTTCCGGAATTTCGTCGAGACAGTGAATGAAGCCTCCCAGACGGAGCTCAATTAAATCTGTCCACAGTTTTATGTTTGTATGATCAGTGGTCACCGCGAATTCCACGAAGCTACCGTTCCATGTGTGGGGTTCTCATCTGATAAATGAATATGACCTAGGAAGTTACGATACACTGGTGGCAGTAGGCATGTAATCGAACCTCAAGCGGATACTTTGAAGTGAAAGATGAGGCGCTAAATGGATCGAAAGAAGTGAGTATAAATCATGGTGCACATAAGATATCTAATCATTCTGAAAGATGAAGAATTGAGGCATTTCATCATATCAGCTGCGGCATTTACGAACGAGCTTTTCAATGTAAGGGATCCATTTTAACCCTCTCACATATGGCGTTAGAATAGAAAATGGTAAAAGCAATAAATGAGATGGACTGGAAACAGTCAGACCCTTTCAGACAAATGTAGATTCAATTGGGTGTGTATCGCATTAAATGGATTGAGTCTCTGAAATGGAAACGGAACTGCATCAGAATGTTTCGTTTAAGTCCAAACAATGCGCAATAAAAAAGGTTCCTTGCATCAAGTACAAGTAGATGAGGTGCTTATCTCTAGGAAACTTACAGCATAACGAACGATTATCTTGAGCTAAAGCACTTATAATCACATGGAAAAAAGAATGGAAGTTTGTGTACTGTAAGGATGAAAAAGTTCAACACATGGGGCCTGAACACCCTTGTTTCATACGGAGAGGATTTGTTTATTAAAGCATAGCACACGGATAAGAGCTCAAAAGACTTTTCAAGGCAACTATTCAATGAACAACCGAATAGAATTCATGAAATCAAGTACAGCATAGTATTCAGGATAGCATATAACTAATAATTTAATAACTTATTATGATAAGTTACTGATTGTTGTTGGTTGTTTTGGATGTTTGCTTTAAAAAAAGATAACATGATGAAACTCTGTACTTAGGTTTTTGGTTTAGTTATCATTCAATCTCCCAATAATTAACGCAATATTGACTAAACTAAGACTGCACAGGGTACTTGTGGTTTTCAGAGTGACAACAAATGGTTGCACGATCAGTCTTTAACATGGTGCTTCAATTTCTATCGCGAGACTTTTGTTCATTGGGACAAAGAAAATAGCCCATTTACTCAAGAAATTCATTGTAAATTGTGAATTATTTTTGGGATTAATTGTTTAGATTATTAAGTTAAGTATTCTCCAATATATGATAAAAACAATCAACTAAGCTCTCCATCCATTTGACCATCCCATTGAATTTCAAATTAGTTTATTTAGATCGAATCAAGAGGACGTTGTAAGTCCCTATCACAATTTGGTCGAAACGAATGCATCTGTGCACTCAGCTATTTTATTAGAAGCATTATGTTTTTCAGCCACGGACTTTTGTGTACGTGTTCAGAACTCATAGGCTAAGGTCAATTTCTCGTGAACGAAATACAGTTGAACGTCAATCACTTGGCACGATTACAAAAATGTAATGTCGCTTCTACTTGCAGTTCGCTTCTGGACTTTGTAAGCAGGTGCGGTTCGGTTGGAATTTACTCTCAGTGATAGAAGAAATTACATCACCTTTCCTCGGGTCAACGAACGTGTCGGAGAATACATTAGATTTTTCTACAATAAAAAGTTCAATCAATCAAATTGGAAACCTTTTAAGAGGTCAGGTATGGAAAAAGGTCCGCTTGACTGTATACTTCTTAAGACAAAAGCAACAGAATGAAACAGATCTAAGCGTGTTTTGTAATAGGATAATCAGCAGGAATCTCAGAGATTCCTTGCAAACAAATAAAAACACTCACGGACAATTCATCCAGAACCCTTTGTTGTTCTTCCACTTCCGCATTCCGGTCTCCCAACTCTTCCAGCAAATGATCACATTTTGTGCGTGCCGCTGTGAACTCACCAATAGCTCTAGCCAGTCCTTCCGTCAAACTGGTCGTGAGACGAATTAGCTCCCAGTTTTCTGCACGCAAGTGTTCCAATATGACCAAGCGTCGTTCGGTCATACTCACTGTTCGTCCTACATGGGCTATTTCAGTGACTGTTCTTTTTTTCTGATCATACACGGAATTGGAGAAATACGAAAAACATTAAAGGAAAACACTTGCAGAGTGCGTAATTGACCAGAATAAGATGATTTAATTTGGTTTTCATAAATGCGAAAACTCAGTGAGTTCGCTTTGGGTTTAGACGTTTGTTGTAGAGCACAGATGAAGAAAAATAACTGGTATTTATTTCAGGATGCAACCCTTCTCATTTCGGAAATATATTTGCCTACATGACAGTATGTTATAGTTCGATTTCGAATTTGCATAGATCCTACAGGTCAGTGCAACATACAAGGACCCGAATTTGTTTTTTTAACTAAATAAAACATTAAAAATTTTTGGTATTTGTGGACAGTACGACTGTCTGCACAGAAACCGAACCACAGTCGTATTTTCTCTAATCAGTAATTAATGAACAACAGTATATAATTCGAGGTTATACTTCCTTACATTGTACATATTTGTAATACTAAGAACGATCACCATAGCGAAAGTGTTTTTGAATTGCCTTCGATCCTATGAAGTGTCTCACATCATTTGTTACTACATATGCATATATAAATCGGATTTTTATCAGCCCGAAACTTAGGTAGAGTGTTCGAATACGAAGCATGGTTGATGCGTTGAAGAATTACTTGTCTCCATGTTCACCTTCGACATGTATAAATGGAATCGATTTCGGCTGAACATCATAAAAGAGTATTAATCATATCTGCACCTCGGAGTCAGTCACCTACTGAGTTCATGTTGACTATTGAGTTTTACTTTTATTTATCACTTGTGTTTACTCATGAGTAGTTCAACTACAACGATGCAAATGTTGACTCACTTCGTCATCTAAGTCTTGCTGTAGGTTTTGGATCGATCGGGCCAGACGTCTTTTACGTGCGGCCATTTCACCGTCATACTTCGGAGTCACGACATAACGGGCCCGGGTTTTGTCGTACAATTGTTGGGCAATCTGCAGACGGGGTTTTTGAAGATACACAACACTTAGTGAAAACCAACACAAGAAAATCAAAACAAACTCCATGAAATTTGATTTGACGTTCACGACTAGCATATCAGATCTTCACTTCCACTTCTGGTTGTGCCACTGCAGGTCGTCAAGTTTGAAGCAATTTAATGGTTTGAATTCATTATGCAGTCATACACATTGGTTTCACAGTGAATAAACACGTTTCACTTTCCACAATTTTTTCTTTTATGACGGTATTACGATTCATCAGATGGATTCCGCAGCATTACGGGCTGGTTATGATTCTAGTTCAGGCAAGCCCCATGAATTATCTTCAGCACTATAAAAGCCATCGATGGGAACTGATGCAAATTACCGTTTGAGAATTCGAGTTTTGTAGTCTTCTCGATCTTCTTCCATAATATTTTGAAATCATGTAGAGAATCCCTGAGGGGCTGCATTGTAATGGGTAATGAACCTAAGAAACTTACTTGGAAAAGGAAGAATAAAGAAATTCTCTCACTGGAAGAACTATATATATGTATACTAAAAGGTAGAAAGCGAGCACCGAGTGATAGTATTTATTGTGACGTTTCGATCCATACTCGTTGTCAAAATATATATCGTCGGAGTGCCAACGTAACAACGAGAGAAACAGAGAGCAAATTGGGTTGGGATTGAGAGTCAAATATTTGTATGAATAGCATTAAAAATCAAATGTTCCTGTCATCGAAATGTATGATAATCATTCAGGAACAGGGCCGTATAGGCTGCCTGAGGAAATAAAAACAAGGGAATGTCAAGCGGCGGTGGCGAGGTTCGAAACCAGGGCTCCAGGGTGGATATTTCCACGAGATTACCACTCGGCCACCAAAACCCCAGACTCTCAATTTGTTTCACCGTTCATCTTTCGACTTGCTTTGTGTTAGTTAATTTTAAACAAATCAAACGGAAAAGTATTATTTGAAAAGAAACCCTGATAATAGTTAGAAAAATCTGATAGAAACACCACCGGTTTCGTGGTTATTGCCGCTCATCACAATCACAAATTTGATGCTCCTCCATTGATCTTTTCCCTTTTTCGTACACTTCTTGTTACGCAACTATCGAACACTGACTGTGGTGGTTTTATTTGATAATAGACATTTTGTTCACAATAATATCATACAATCGACGTACTATTTCTATGTCGGGAAGTACTAGCCCAGATGCAAATAGAAATGTTTACTACATTTAATGATTAGATGTTTATTATTCACTGCTTATGGTAATGTATCTACGTTCGAATCTATTGTGTGCTAAAAGGAGTCACTCAAGGCGGACGGAGAACAAAGTAAATCTGAATGAAAAACTGCATCGACCAGTTCTCGGAACACAATTTCGATTCGCAGTGAAAAAGCTGGTTGACTGTTCAAGTCGGGATAATCTCTTTCCCTTGGAAGCGCCAGTATCAGAATGATAAAAACGTGGCCGACGAACCTCAGGATACTGCTAATAATATTTACTCAACTGGACATAGACCCGGTCATGCAAAGTTTAGGTTTAGATTTTGCGAGGTTGATCAAAGTGAGAGGGTGTTTATCATCACCTGTCCGAAGTGTGCATGAAAAAACAACGTTGTAACTAACTGTATAACGCGATAGTTTCCGTCCTGGTAGTTAGAAGAATCTGTGGCTGGTTATCTCCTTCACTGGCTCAATATTTCTCACTTATGTGCATCTGTTTTTTTATTCGATCTGTTGAATCTTATCACTGCCAGAGTGTTACACAAATAATGCGATTCTCTATTAAACCAATGGTAATGTTTAGAGAAGAACCTATAATCATCGCTTGATTTAGTAAATAAAACAATTTTGAGAACTTCAGTCATTTTCTTCATTCATAACACTTCAGATAATTCGTCAATAAAGAAAGCGGTGCAAAAAAGTAACACATTGATCAAGTGACTGAAATTCTGCAATTCACTTAGGATATAAACAGACAATAGAGATGCGCGGAAGCTCTTCAATTATTCGATTGCGTGTTGCCTTATCAATACATTCAGCTTACCTAAAAATATACTTTTGTATGCATTTAGATTCTGCGAGCCACATATAGATTGTTGCTAATCGGGGACAACCAAAGTGGATGACAAATAAACAAAATGCAAGTGGAGCCGACTTTCTTGTGTGACACCAACCGGTGGCAACGGGTCGGTCAGTTAATTTAAATGTGCCCATGAATGATCAACTGTATCAAAATTAAAGGAAAAAAATATACCGGTTCACGGAGGAACAGAAAAACTTTGGGGATTGTCACGTTTCATGAGTGTTGTTTCACAGAAATATGTTTTACTGGTTTAGTTTTCGGTAATTTTGGGAACCAGGCTTTAACTGCTGTGTTCTGGAAGTTTGCTTTGAGCGCGACTGAATACGGAATCTTCCATTTCAAGTTTCATTTCTCACTGTATGTGCTTTAACTGTCGTGTCTTTTATTTTGTGAACAGCACGCGATTCACAGAAGTGGAGATGAGAAAAACCCTCAGACAAGGTTATTTCGAAGACAGCTTCCCAAAGCTATGCTCACCTATTAATTCGATCACTTTGTGTTTCATTTCCTCTGTATATAACCAATTACCTTACCATTTTGTTCCGGGTTTTTGTTTTCTCTCTCATTGTTGGGTATCCACTTGGATGGAGGACTAAAAGGGAAGATGAGAAAACTGAAGACGTTGTCATCATTATTGGGTGGTAGTGGCCGTGTGGCAAAGGTCGCCGATTTATATCCCCGGAGGACGTGTTCGAATCCCATCAACACTGCCCGACTTTACGCACTAGTCGTCTACCGCTTCCCTCTTCCTGATATTTCATTGACTAACAGAATATGCATTCTATGTCACGATAATTTAGTTCCATTTACTTCTTTTGTTATCAAAGTTGGATAACCTTGTTTTAAACGCTGTTTAGAACAAACCATTTTTTGATAAACCCTCCACTTAACCACAAACGCAGATTCACCGAAAAAAACTTGAATCGAAAATGGACCTACCCGAACGGAATCGTTTAGAAACTCAATCTGTACCATCGACTTTTTCCAGTGTCGAACAAATGCGTCACGCTCTTTTGTCAGTTTTGTAATCTCCTCCCCGAGGTCTCGTTTTGTTTGTTCGGATAAATGAATACGTTGTAAATACCGAGCCCTGAGAAATAAAAATAGAGTTTTACAAGAATTCAGCCGACTTGGTATGCTTTTTCAAGCCATGATCGCTAAATCCATGAGCATCATCATCATCATTATCATCATTTGCGGTATGTTCATTATGATTGATACAAGAGCCATCAAAATAAATTCTTAGTTGTTGTTTTTGCAAGTGATATGATCTGGTCTTCGCAAGCTATGACATACCCCATCCATAGTTCGATAGTTATTCAGAATAACCAACCAGAGGCCATATTAGGTAAGTGCAATGAAATTCAAACTAGGTTTTGTATAGGAAAAATGCTGTCACTTGAAGCGTAAAAATATACTTCTTCTGTTATAGAGGTGCTATATACACATTGGTATCTGTTTATATCGTTCTCACTGATAGCTGCAGCCTACCAGACATCGTATGTCATACATCACCAGTTTGACGAACGGAAACCAACCAATCCTCATGCTGTCTCATTATACTGTTTGCGTTTGTATGCAGGTACTCCAATGATTCACACGAGGTGCATGGACTTCCTTGCCTCGCTCAGGTACAACTTGCGGTTAAATCATATCCTAAAAATAAAGAACAACCCCTTGGTGAGGGGGTAGGAGTTTCAAACAATCAAGTGTCATGTGTAACGGAACTGTGTTTCGGTTGATTTATTCAGATAAAAAAGACTTAGACTGCGACTTTGATCAAACTCAAGATTAAATGCAAAATACCCGCATTTCATGTCAAGGCTGTCTACGAAAACAAAGTTGATTGAAAATAAAGACGTGGAAACGAAAGGCCATGAGGCAAGGGTGATGACATACCACCGCCTAATATCGGTACTTTCAACATTGTCCAACTGCATAGTTTGTTGGTGAAATATCGCGCTTCTCAGATTTGAAACAACACACAATCACGGGTTATTCACCATTAGTTGAGCGAACAGCAATAAACCGGCATAAACGCGTTTCAGGAATCCGCTTAATTTGTCTTGTAAAGTGGGACAAAGTTTACTACTTACGCTGCAAGTGGTTGCTTGAGATACGCTTTCATTGGCGGGTATTCTTTATGATTCTTAACCCCGTTCAATTAGAGGAAGGCTAAATGGTTCTCTGAGGGGAAACATTTAACGTGAAGTAAATATATATACTTGACCTTGGTTTGGAACAATAAAAATTCCAGCGTTACAGCATCGAAAAATTAAGAAAATTAGGCAAGTTATGTTTGCATTGCTTACAAACTATAATACATATTTGAACGAAAAAGCCAAAAACACAGGTCTGCACAATGTATCCTGGATCATTTCGCTGCACCTGTACACGTACATTCGGCAGTCTATGTGATCATCGACATATGGTCATTGAATAACAGAATCACAGGCGGAGAAAGATTGCGGTCAACATTACTCACCAAAGTAGCACCAGTCTGAAATGGTAATTTTGAATAGCTAGTGCCTCGGTGTATTTTAGAATCTTGGTGTTGTTTGTGCTGTGCAGGATTCTGAATGCATCCACGATGTATTGTGCAAACCTGTAATTTTGACTTCTTTATTCTACTTCGTTAAGGAGAAAACTCTGCTTCAGATAATATTTATGAAAAATTTGATTCCACAGACATGGAAAAATATTACACAGTTGTTTACGGCAATGATTCGGGAAGAAGAATTGAATAAGCCAACCAACGAAATACGGTTGAACACAGAATCGTCTTCGGAGGAGTCTCAAAAGCAAATGTACTTTTCAGAATCTACGTTTAATCTAAATCCTGTAGAAATTTTCAAACATTTGGTCAATGATAATAATTACCAGAATGCAAGACAAAAATTCACAGTGCACATACGAACTTCCAAGCGAATATCCTTGGGCGACCTATTAAGAAAGACTAGTCGTATCAAAGAAAAGTTAACCAACAAGTCTGTCAATAACGTATGGGACTCAAAATGCCTTCTATCCTCTCTGATATTTATGAAATTTTTTGCGCGAAAACGGAACCTGAACGATAATCAGTTGCATGTGCTTTCATCTCGAGCAAAGTGCTTTGCAGGTAGGAAACGCTTTTAGTACACCCCCTGACGGCTGGCAGAATGGCACACGCCAAAGCTCACACACATGGTAGTTGGAATGAGTCACACACACGGTGTTGATTGATGGCCCGTGACATTCCAGTCTGTGAATGAAATTCAAGTATTCATAGAATCGTGAATTTCGAGCTCCCATCTACTGGAAAGATGATTAGGCCACTAGATGAATGACTATAGAATTTGGAATGAAAGATACTATTTATCTGGATCGACCGGAGACTATGAATGCTATTTTTAAAAGAAATACATGTTATGGCAAATTATCTGAAATGTTAATGTTTGTCGTGCGTAACAATCGATACAATCAACCATACATTCAGCGTGAGAAAAGAGGATAGCAATTGCCCGGATCATTAAATCACAGATTCACCTTACCAAGCACAAAATTACACGAATTTTTATGTATGTTTCTACTGTTTTTTTTGTTTATTGAGTATAAAAACGCCTTTCAGGAAGGGAATGGCGACCACATAAAAACCGCCTAGGAAGACGGAGAAATCGAGATGGGAGGAGGATGGCGCGGTTCAAACTCAGCTGAAACAGGCAGCAATTTTAATGACATTCACTGTGCATTAGTTGACCGCATTATACTGATATATTTCTGGTTCAATGCGTAAAAGAGCGAGCGTGAAATTATCCTTACGACTGTGTGTGGTGACATTCTCTTGATAACATAAACACAACTGTCAGTTCTTCACGAATCTTGGACCAGAACTTAATACCAACTCCTGCTTTGTGCAGTTCATCAACGGGGTCCATCTTTATCCAGTAAGACCATTTTACCGTATTCCCAACTTATATTGACACAACAAGAATATTGTTTCAATGTATATATATACATCAGCACCAATCTTTACAGAATCGGCTCCAAAAATAACCATGGGTTAATGAAAATTATCGGCACAGAGGCAGAGAAAACAAAACAAAAACTTGAGAAATTAACAAAATTTTTGTTTGTTTACTGCAAGCAGGTTTCAGCTTTTTGTTTTGTTTCAAAGTATCATGATAATTAATCGACCCTGACTCACAGAGAGCACACTTGAATACCAATAAAGAGCTCTAAAATTTACTGGCGAAGCACTGTAATAGAAACAACGTAGTTGCCAGAACTACCCACTAATCCGGTGCTAAAATCATCGCATAATAATAATATAAATCGAAAATACTGAGGGTACTAAGTATTATTTTTAAGAAATCTACGTGCTGCTATTTATTCTCGAGCAAGAAGTTATATATATACATATATCATCGGCCTGCGGACAAACATGATGAAAAAGCCAAAACAATAATAACAATAACAGGAATTCTGTTGCAATGTATCGCTCTACATTATTGCTTCATTCAGTCAGAAGGTGGAATAGTCACATATATCCCGTTCTAGGTACATAATCCAGGCTAAATCTTTTCGAATTAGCAGATAATTCATATAGGGTTACAGGAAAAAATAAAAGCAAATCCCATTTCATGATCCTGTGTATAAGCTTTGCGAAAAACTGTAGAAAAATAGTGTTATGCAAACATCATTTTGTGCAAAATATGAGAAAGCATCTAGATAAATCTGTGTCCGGCGAATTCAGGAAATTGAATAGATAAATCAATGACTGGTACATATGCTTGTCCGTCAGGCAGAGAGAGATTGTCACTAGCTATCATCTTCTTCGTAGATAAAAATTGTGGCGAATCTTGTCTGACCTCTGGTTTGCCTTATTTTTCTGTTCTTGGAAATTAATACGGTTCTGTTTATCTGATTCTATTCTTACTTATAATGAGATAAGATTATCAGGATGGGACAAAATTGCTTATGAACTGCTTGTCTCTCATTAGCAGCTTCTAGATATGCTTAGCCCTTTTGTTTCCATTGCATCATTTGTAAACGTCCCCCGGCATTATGTTTTGCGAGGTGTAGGTCAGCGCGAAATCCGACGCGTTACTTGTGTTCACGCTTTTAGCGCAAACATTAACAACAGCTACTACCATTCATCAAGTTACCTGGGTGGGACTACATCTGCAGAATCAGGACAAACACTGCGGTCTTTGGACTTGTTTATTTATGCAAACTTTGTTCGCACACGTTCTTCCTCTGTCATTCCATGTGTTAGAAAAGAAGGAAAGGACAGTGGTAATTGTATAAAACGCTTCAAACACAAGTGTGCGTGTCGCGTACTCAGACTGCGTTGATTAGATTGCATTCTCTGCGCTTGTCCCCTCCCTTCCCCAACATCTAACATCATTTCATTCTGTTACTAAGATATCCATGGTGCGTTATCAGTCCCGCGAAATATTTTCCCCACCACTGACCATGTGGTTGTTTACCGCTGGTATTGCGAGAAATGCAAATAGCAACAACCTTGGAATTCTATACAGAATGCACCCAAAACTGTCAAAGGAACTGCTCGAAAAAAGAATAACATCTATTGGAAACAATGAGTAGTTTGTGTGGATAGGAATTAGTGTCAACTGTAAACTAGAACTGGTAAGGATTACAGACAAACCGCTTAATAAAGCGGGTGCCATACTCCACTGTTTCCTAATGATGTTGGGTTGTTTGAACACAAGTAGAGTCACAAGTAAGGCCACTTATAAAAGAGAGCCATTTTCAACATTCAGTCAGCTACTATAGTTGGAGGTATAGTGAATTGTTTTTTCTGTTCTTCTGTATCAAACTAACATGCGCGTTCCATATTCACCCGGGTTTCAGCGATGTCAGTTAGCATACACAAAACCGGAAACGGATGTGCACATGATGGGGGCACAATGCGATCAGCCGGTAAGAGATTAAGTTAAATAAATGTTTATTCCTCGACTGTCCTCTAACTGTGATACTGTCCGCGAACCACCCGATATTATCACAGTTTTATTGTCCGGAAACAACGAAATAAACAGTAATACAAGTGATGGACAGATTTCACAAGCTCAAGCTCAGAATGACAAATTGGCCTGTGAGCGTGATCTCCGGTTCGTGGGTTCATGGTTATTGCTTTTTTTGGAGTAAACACGATCATTTTATGGACACACTAATTTTACTTTAATTTGTTGCTCATTGCAAAATATTTCAAAATGTCATCAATACCGAAAGAAGACAAGTTTCGTGAGAAGTTAACAATTCGCGTAATCTCCTCAATCACATAGCATGTATAAAACATGTGGCACTTTGAAATGCCCACAAAATGTGTTAACACAGTCAATCTACTTTCCATGACGTTGAATTTTTAATTCTTATATTGAAATGCATAAAGATGACTCGATGTGCCAAACCTCAAGTGCTATTTCCATTTCGATGAGCAAAGGTCTCTTTTGCAACACTAGTGCGAGTCAATTTATGTATAACAATTCACAATTCAGTAAATAACAAAAGAACTTGGCTGAAAGTTTGTGCATTGAAGAGTTAAGCGGTGTGCATTTAGGCTCATAACCGTCACTGTCAGTGATGGAGACAGAGATAGAAATCAACCCAGATAGAAAAATACTTCAGGACGTCGGATAAACAAACCCTCGTATCTGCGTTCAAATCCTAGTGGCACAGAATCCTCGCACTGATTCTGTAATGCTTGTTTTTCTTAAACTCACATCCCCTAGTTGCAACTGAGATTTACGTTGTCTGATTCACATCAAGAGTACAGATTTAATAAGGACGAAGGAGAAGCACAATAGAGGAGCATACCTGACCAGCGTCAGTCACCGCGAAATCGGTCGTGTGCTCCCGAGGGAACTTCATTCAGTGATACTAATTTTCAAAAGTGAAGCTTACTACGAATGAACCGAAACCCTGTGATTCACACATACACGACGATGTTTGATGTTTTGGTGCGGACGATAAAATTAACTCCTAAAATGGTCCCTTGGATAAAAGTTAAGTAAATTTGAAGGTGCATACCTCAATCTAATTTGCAAATAAAAATGTTTTATTATGAAATAGACTTCAAGTAACTTGGAAGAACCGAATAAAGTTGGTCTTCTTTCATATCGAAAAAAATTAAATTTTAATTTATCTATGTTTGGAACTACTACAGCTATGATCTATGGAAAGAAGTTTACTTCCTCAATAAGCGGATCAACAGTGGAAACTACATGATATTTCGGGGTATATTATTAGTCAACGGTACAACCGTTGGGCGCGAGAATCCGAGGCATGTACTCCTACTCTAGAGCGGCATCTGAGGCCAGTAATGGCATCGAAAATATATCCTCACATTCTCGACATAATAATATCGTACGTAGTTCAAAACCGTTATCTAATAAACTGTTAGATGTTATTTCTCAGCATCAAATCCTTGGTGTGTTTTCTGCACAGTCCTGTTTCTAACTTAATAAGAATATTGCTAACCGAAAGGTTGATAGAACTTCCAGAGTTTATATCACAAAGCCAAAATCAGCGGCACGTTGATTGGTGACTCCACTTTTCCCACCCCAAGTAATTTTGTGAATCATACTTTTGTTTCTACCTCGTGATCATATATTACTGTAGAAGCTTGAAAATGAATAACCGAAAAGTATTCTTCTCTTCAATGGTCTTTTCGATAGAACTAATTCGCAATAAGTCATACTTGTTTCGAATTTTTATTGAATAGCCAAAATGGTTCTAATGGGAAACAATTTGTTTGTTAATTTCATTTCTATGCATATTTTTAATCATAACCCGATTGAAATTTATTCAAATGCGTTTTGTAGGGAATTTTTTGAAGGAACATCTGATCCTCTGATTTTAAACTCCAGTAGAAGATCATGACAATTTCTCACTGAATATTTACTAATTTTTCAATATTCCCCCTAGAAGATGTACCTTTCTTTCGTCTTGGAAGATGAGTGAAAATTTTTCTTTAGTTTTTCTCAGTTTGTTTCATGCATCTCAGGTGAAGAAGCTGTGTAAGCTCACTTTTCAGTTCGATTCATCATTTCCATCTCATACCAAGTGTCGTGATTTCGTATAGTTTTCTCCAGTAGTTCCTTCTTATCCGTGTTCTCCAGTCGAAGTGCTGCAAGATCTCTGTGAATCAGAAACAGTATGGTTCAGTGGACAGGTGAGAGTACAGTTATTGGGAGACATTTTATTTGCATTTTACAAGTAACAATTATGAAAATAACATTATTTTTACTTTCTTTTCTCCAATGAATTCATAAATACATAAGATACTTTTCGGGGCGGCAGTCACATGAAAACTGCCTGGAGAAAACAGAAATGGGGGAGGTGGGCGGTGGTGGTGAGATATGAACTGAGTGCCTCCCGGTTGCCGTTCGGATGACCTTACCTACCTGACCACATGTTAGGGTGCAATAAATTGTTTCATCTGCTCGTCTCTACAGTTAACTCACGTTCGGTTATTCAACTCTTCATTATCCATTAGTCGAACTTGTAATTCCAATTCCGAGCGTTGATCAGACATTTCATTGAACTCCTGTTGCAAGTTGATGAGTTCTTTCTCAGCGTTCCTGGAATCAAAAATAAAGTGACTGAATTCGAATTGGGACTTATGTGATGTGTAAAACTGAATCAATTGCGATTCATTTGTAAAACGTACGATTTATATTTGCGTGCCTTCTCCGCTTCTTTCGAGTATTGCCCCGGCAAGTCACATGCCACAACCCATTCGGCCTACAATCGAGAAGTAAACCATTTTATGCGGAAGTCTGATGCCACCAGATTACGAATGCACCCAGATTACTGGGAGGAAATGGCAACAATGTTTACGTGGTATACAAATTTGGCCTCGGAGCACAGTTCACATTAGACACTTGAAATATGGCTGGTTTTGAGATGAAATCACCAAAATGTTTATTTTTTGAACGATATAAATTCATCCGGGGACTCACGCAATATGCGTTTCTTGATATCATACAGCCAGAATGACCGAACTAGGATCGATCATCCAGTAGACGAAAACCAAGTTGGCAGACATTACAGAGAACATAACACCATCCGAGTATTCTCAAATGGGGAGCTTGAGAACACTGTTCCAAAACGATCGATGTTAATCACGACCAGGAGAGACAAATGTGTATAGGCTCGATTAACGAGGTTTATACAGCTTTTTAAGTTATTTTATCATGTGGAATGAGTCAATCTCTGTACTAAATCAGTGTGTAGTAGTGTGTTCAGATACAAACCACGAATACACTTTCACGTGAACTATCTCCAAAGCTGCACATCACACATATTTTGTGATGTTGTACGAACTGATCGTCTATTCAGTACTTTTTAAATTCACTTTCAGTCCCGGTTGTTGATTCGGTTGTTTAACTGATCCGTTCTTTGATCGTTTTCACCGAAAGTGTATTTGATTATTGTACCAGTAGTCCCGTTTTCTAAACCCTCAACATGATAGTTCAAATATAGAAAATCAATTTGGCTGTTAGTTGGATGGCATTATCAAAGTAGATTGATCAATTCTGTTTTCAAACTGTTCGGATAACCGTTGATGGGGATTCGTAGATGAGAAATAGAGACGAGGTATGCTTGATGGAACTTGTTTTTCATTCAGCATGCAGGCAGTATTTGAGGATCAGCGTACTGAGATGAGATCTCCAATACCATTACCCAGGCTCAATGAATAGCATATAACTAATCAGGCTTGGCTGGGCAACTTATTGCAATAGAAAAATGTTATTACCGTTATTGGTTCACTTGGAGAGATTACCTGCGAACACTTCGCTGTCTTATACCATAGAGAATAGAGTAATGAGAAGGTAATTAAGAACAGGGTGAGCTGAAACTTGACTAGTACATCTACTATGGTCTCAACGTTCTGTTCTCGCAAGTGTCTACACTTGCCTAAGAAAATTCACGTACCTATATCACCAAGCGCACTGGGGTTAAGCGTTCATAAATCACCATGGCGATTTTTACTACTATTGGTTGAATCGACAAACATCCTATGGAGGAAGCCTACTCAGTGCCGTGTGTAATGCATGCTTTAGCCAGCACATTCGAGCAATTTGTGTAATTGCAACCACCTAAGCCTCCACGTACATTACTATTCCGTTTATCAAAAAGCTCATAGCATGTGGCGTAGACTGTGGCCTTCGAACACCGGAAGTCCGTACTCACCTCCATTCCTCAATGTCTGTTTCTTTTTCAATTGCAGGACCCACAAAAACAAAACTACAATGTTCCAGCAAACTATCCTCATTAACATTCCAGATCAGCCAAATCGAGTTAGGCTAACCTCCAAGAATTATGGCAGTGGATCTTTGTAATGTTTTCTGTTAGATACAGTTCCTCTCACTGAAGCTAAAATCACAAGAAATCTACTTTGACATTCATTTTCTTAGATCAGGCACATTGATCCTGTAAAAATATTTTCATGCCAACATTGCTATCACTGAGTGTGGTTTGTCTCAAGCTAATTCCATTCGATGCTTGTGGGCATATTGTGGAGTAGTTTCCATCAAGTCTCACTAGTGCGGGACTAACGGGATTGACAATCGCAGTGTATTTTCTTCAGATAATTATAACATTTTATTTTGATTGTTCTAATATGTATATATAAAAGCATACCAACATTCTAGTTACCTATGCACTCAAAATATACGAATTTGCCTGAGTAGTTATTTTGGTTTTTCGGGCAGATATATTCAGACTCTTTGTGAGACTCTGCTTTGATTATCAACTTTCACCTCAGTATTCTACAGATTCACTAATTGAGTGGTGGTGGTCTCAACAAAACCCATTAGAACTCATTCTCTTTTCCTTTTGATTTCGCTGTATTTTGTTTCATGTAAATTTAATTGCACGCGCTTGAGAACCAACTCACGGAGAACATATTCGCTTACACTGGGCCTGGAACGCCTGACCTTGAGTATAACATCACATATTAGAGTACCGGAGATGTTGGAGGGTGGGGGAGAACGAACGGAACGATGCCTCATGACTGTTGGTCGTGACACCTATATTGATAGAAGAGGGACCAGAAACGTAAAATCTCTTACAGAAAAGTGCACATTGGCACGTTTTACGCATTTTTGTAATTAACTTTACGTTATATCTTCCTAAAGCCTTGCTTGCGCTAACCGAACACAGTAATAGTGTTTGTTTTGGATTGAAGGTAACATTTACCATCATTGTGGGACTTCTGCGAGCAATTTTCCTGCTTCCCACGCAGACAGCCCGAGCGAAGGCAAATGAATCTAAGACGGATGGGTATGTGTGTATGAGTGCGTGCAATTAACCCCACAAACCAAATTACTCAGAATGACGAGCGAAAACCGAGGTCCCTTTATACGAGCCAAACAATCGTGCAACACAACTCCGTGAGACAGAAGTAGCATGTAGCCATTGAAATAGGAAGATAAAAATCCAATCAAGGCATTAATTAACATGCATCCAAATACATGTATATATCTATGATAATTTATGATCAAAATGGGAATCGCTGTATTTCGCGTGCAAGGCCATGGCCACTCACTTTTATATCGCTCAATTTAGTGTTCATATCGTTAACCTCATGTTGCGCCTCCTGTTCCGCATCCACAGCCTGGCGATATTGCTCCCGTGAACGTTTTGCCTCCATTTTGAGCATGTCAATATCGAGCCACAAGTCTTGACATTGGGTCTGAACCAATTTCAGACGTCGCTCCATTTCCTACGTGATACATGCATGCAGATTGTTGGACAATGTGTGTAGGGTGGATGAGGTGAGAGAATGTTTTTTGCGTGTTTGATCGAGCTTGATGAAAGAAAATTCACACTTGTTTTGAGCATTCTATGAATAAACGTTTAATTTTGCCTTTCTAGATTCCGTAAATTTGGTGAGTATTTTTAATGAAGTGTTGTTTTTACAAACTGGTGTATCCATCGCATATGGATTCTGTGCTAATTTACGTAGTTATATTCAACAATAAATTTTTTTATTTGTGAACGGTTGCGGCAGAATGGGGGAACAATTTGGTGATGAGAAACTCACTGTCCGGTTACAACCTTAAGGTTTTCATCTTTGATTTAATTATACAAAACCAGTTCAAATTTCGTCTCCGTCGCAATAAAGTCAGTTTTACACAGGTTATCATACTGTAAATGTCTTGAGATCAATCTGTAATAAATTTTCTAATTCTTCAATGTGCTCTTTAAGCTCTTGAGATCTAGGTTTCCATTTGAACTGAAAATCTTGGATTTGTTCTCCCGGACCCAGATCGCAGCCCACTAAATATTCGGTAGTCATCATACGGAGCAATCCACTGTGGTACGCTTATGTACAGATCTCTGCTGTTGAGCTATATCATGTTTTCATTCTTGAGAAAAGGTATTAAATTTATATTGGATAACCTGATGCGTATCACCGTACACAGGGCAAAGCAATGTGTACTGAGACGCCTTCAGCAAATATGGTACCAGTGTTTCCTTAGTATTTGGTTTCAGCAGCAGCACGAGTTAATTGATTCAACGGAGCTTATTGCTTGAATGTCACTTCCTTCACGTTGGCCCTGACCGCCGTGGGGGATAGAGGAAGATAACTGTTAGAAACGTTCCGAACCCAACCACTTCTACAATGAAGTAATGAGGGATTCGCCTCGATTTGTGCTCGGTTTCCGTTATGCGCAAAGTAAAAAAAGCGTTGAAAACTAGGAGTGATTGGACATGAATGAGTACCACCAAGATAAGTCTTGGCTCGAAGCCGTCTATTTTCATGTGCCCATCACCGGTTGTAACACTCTGACTGCCACTGTTACGGGGATATTTAGTATCCTTTGCGATTCAGAGCAATATCTTCCTGCGAAGGGATCAATTGGTGTGACCCATTTTGTCTAAGCGTGCAGTTATCGCGCAGCCCTGAAGAACTTGTACCAATTTGGATTGCGCTTTGCAATGTGAATCCCCCATTGCCTGGTGCCTGTGCATCCACAAACGCAGATGAATTTTTAAATCATAATCGGGTTGGCGAAATCTGACAGGCGGTCAAAATGATTGTGCAGCGGACGTCCTAATGCTTCATACTGTATTTTTCCAAAACCTATCAGTGCATTTTTATTGTAATTTCATTATTCCGCTCTATTATTTTGATCTGATTTAAAAATAGTTTGCCATACTTTCTGCTACCCTCGTGAACACTTGAATCATAAATTTTGTGGTCTTCCCGAACCCCCTGTCAAAATGTAACCTCTTTTCGACCATATTCATCATTTAGAATCTGATTCTTTCGCTTGTCGTTCACATATAACAACCGAGTCCGATTTCCGTTACTTTGAATCTTGTAAAATCAGCCATTGTTATTGAGGTGCAGGTATCTTATGTTGCCCTACTATTTTGGTATATAACATGAATCACAAAATGAAGTTATAATGGACTATATGAATCATGACGGAATATCATCAGCAGGTATCGATTGCTGTTTTTCCTAACGGAGATATGAATAATATTATGTCCGGTTTGGGCATTTCGTCACACACCCCGCGCGTCATTCGTTATCACGTGTGTGGAACTGATGCTCCTCTTGGTCCGTGAAATATCACGGTCTATCAACCGATTTGGGCAAATTATAAAAATAGCTAGACCTGTGAAGGAACGCATGGAGAAACAAAAACAACTCCAACATAGTATTTCTGTTATCCAGCATGTGTAGAATAAAACAGAAATAATTAATATTATGCTCAATTTAATCACTCTGGTGTGTTGTAAACATATTTTGACTCACAGCGAATATATCGATATCGTCATCGAGCGCTTCAAGCTGAAAGAAATACAAACTGATTTTCAGAATTTAAATGACACTTGGTTGGGATGGCATCGCGACAAATCTGATTTATTCGGTAGTTCAGCCCGCTAATGTAGTGCAAATCAAACAATGCAGAAAAAGAACAAGATGAGTTACATTCTTTGTCTCATAAACCAGCATCTTTTGGTGAGTTGCGCGATGAACATATTATGAAAATAAACAGATTTCAGTTGGAAGTTGTTTTTAATCAACTACAGATTCGCATAATCAGCAAAATTTGTCCTATTGGGTAAATAAGAAAAAATATACTAAAACTGACCAGTTCAGTTCAGTTCAGATTTTATAACCGTCAACCATGTATTTTCGTGCGCCGGTTTTGGTTGCTATCTGGCCAGAAGTTGAAGTCACACAAGCATAATAATATTACTTGAACAATGCAAAAATATCTGGAAATTGACATTTTAAAGGAAATGGAGTGCACACACTAGATTTTCTATTCACGAGCATTCGTCATATTACTGTTGCGAGGTGATCAAAGCTTACTTGGATCTTGATTCACTAGCTCGTCTTCTGTGCAAACTAGATCAGAACACTTGTTGCTGAATGTCAATTGATAATAATGCTTTCGTGTAGTAATTCAGGTTACTATAAAATCTTCGTAAAAAGTTCATACGATGATTTTTTAATACAATTTCAGGTGAAAAACTGTTGTCATCAATTAACAATAATGGCGCTAATATTTATGGCAGGAAATGCCATTGACACAACTCTGTTTCCAGTATTTTATCAGTAACCAAACCAGCCAGAATGGTCAGATAGATGTCATTGATACAACTCACTGCCCTTTGGGAAAACCAAACAGGTTTTGATTTGTAACTTTGCTGAACTGATTGATCCTCAAAAACGTGCCCCACATGATGTGAAGTACTGTTGTTCTACGCAAAGGAAACGAACATATCCAAATGGTTGCACAACACAATATTCTTTATCAGTCGTGTTTGAGGAATGATGCTCAGGTATACTTCCAGCCAAGCTTCAGATTGTCTGAACTTTAAACGCGTCCCACTCAGTGGGATTCAAATCCGGGCTGTGGAAGACAGCAACCAAAATAGCTACACTAAAGTGCATGGTTAATGGTTGTAAAAGCTGAACTGAACAGATTGTATGCAACTACGGGGAGACTAAGCTCATTCAAAACTTTGATTTAAATCCGGTTGACTGGTTTCCTTCAGGAATTACTAACTGGGAGTTTCTACCCATGAAAAATGTACATAAGAACTGTACAGAGCCCCAGCGATAGATTGGACAGCTGAAGAGTAACTTGTTTTACACAGATTACGCCAGTAAATCATAAGCCAAGCAGGCCCGTCAAAATTAAGTTTGTTCTCCCTCCCGAATATCACACCGTTCCATTTAGAAGTTTAGTTGATATGACTTCCAACCTGTGAATTTTAACTTCGGCGCAATTACTGCCTGATAAGAAGCAACAACTAAAGTTATCGCGTGCCTTGATGAGAGATCTTTCGTCCGATTCCGCAGTGATGGTTCCAGTTACATCGACCTCTGTTGACCAAAAGTTATGAAAACTTATGATGATCGCTGAAATTTCGAAATAATCTTGCAAACGCAATTTCCCCGTGTTTTTAAGGTAATAGTTTCCTTGTTCCAGCTCGAACAGTCTTGTACCGCGTACCACTGTTCTGCTTCGGCAAATGACAAGTCCATAAACTCGACCGCGATGCGTGATCTTGGCGACCATTGTTCACTTATTGTATGCTACACGAAAGTTGTTCAGTATTGTACAACTGGGCATCACCTGACACATCTGAGTCATGACGGATTCATACAGATTACGTGGCAAGCTAACTTGGAGTGGGGTTAAAAGCGTTCATCTACCTCCTGGGGTGGGTAAACTCTCCGGAAAAGATGACTGCATCAAAGTCATAATTAAAGTCTGTTCGATTTCTTTATGCGGTCATGAGTTTTATCATCATACTGGTGTTGGTGTTGGTGGTAAGAGTGATGCTGGTGCTGGTAGTGGTGGTAATGGTGGGATTCGAGCACACGACTTCCGGGGTGACAACCTGGTGATCTTGACCGCTTGACCCTTTCGTACAAACAGTGGAGAGGAGCTTAGATTATTCGACTCTGGACACGTAGTTCTGGGATGAAGTGTCTAATAACGAAATTTTCGGCGATGGATAACCTGCGCAAGCTGATATATTTATCAGGGAAACATTATAAATAAACCTGAAAACGTCGCTTGGTTGTATCTACCAACTAGGCGAGAAGTGCCACGACAAATGATTCAAAAGTAGTGTTGCTGAGCCAGCGACGGTGACATTAATTTATGGTTTGAACTAGCCCAACTAGCAGAAATGGGCCCACGGAACTTCTTCCTCTTTCAGCGAAGACTATTCTGCTGCGATTTGGGTCCGGACTCAGACGCCTTTGGAATACAGTAATATCAAGATACATCAGATCCACAATAAGGTGGAAAGTAAAGGCTGGGTGACACCGACGATCGTCGCTTTCCATAGTGACCATTTAATCACTTTAATCGCTTTTTACTCAAGCCGTTTTTTGGACATCATTATGTTCTTCGTGAATATGAGGGTCTCATGTTAGTGAACAACATGAATTGCGCTTGATTATATGGCAACTTTCATCACTTTGCTCAAAGCACCCCCCCAGTTGAGTATTTAAATGTTGGATTCAGAATAACTTCTGTTTTCGGCTGCCTTATTCTGTCGAACTTATGAATGGGTCTTTACCTGTACTCGCATAGTATATTCATTGATAGCCGTCTGGGAAACAATTGAGTGGCCCTTTACGCTCGTGTAATGTTCGCGGAAACCGGTCAAACATTTTTGGGGGAGTCTATATACTATTTGTTTGCTTAGTAAACCTGTGGTAAAAAATTGAACTTGACATCCGTATCTCCGACGAACTAGAAAAATGAACCTCCGTTCCGTCCATCTGCCTACCATAAATTTAACGAGGTGAAATGGGGCTGACTCAAACAGGTCTATAACAAACTTCTCCTCACAGACACCTTTACCGTGCTGCAGGCGTTGCAATACAACAGCTAGCATGGAAACAAACGATCTAACAGGTTTTGCTTAACATGATCAGGATGCCCAGATGTACTCTGGGACTGTCTTTGTACGTTGGGTGAGTGATCAAATAAGGAAGTACCCGAGCTGTCGATGAGGCTTCGTTTTTCGAATGATAGAGCGTACACCGAACTTTTGGCACTAGTCGGCGTTCATGCACGAATTCGAATTACACTGGGGTTAAGGTCTTTTTACCAAATTCTGTCGCATGTGTAGTTTATCACATCGCTGACTGAAGCGACATAATTTGTGCACAAAGGACTTTCTGTCTAATCCATAACTCCGGTACATTGGCTAGTTGTCTTGGGTTTCTTCCTTGTAACGCTGTTTTATCAACATAGGCCAGTTTGATCAACTTAAACAGCTATCCTTGGCAGTAACTCACTTCAGCGGTTGGTAATTTTGAATAATCGCGGTTGAGCAACTTCCGTTCTTCTCTTAATAGTCCAGCTTCATATGCCAACATTTCTACCCGTTCGTCGGTTTCCATGGCACTGTTGTAGTAGCCCAGGATTTGTGCGCGCATTTGTGATGGTTCAGTGATGGTATTATCCGGGAATTGATCTGCACGAGCCAGCTGTTGCTCCTGTTCGTCAATTTCACCCATATAGCGCTTAGATAATTGAATGAGGAAAAATTCATTTTCTCTGGTTCTGAAATGTTAAGAAATATATCGTTCATTCATATTTTAACACGAAATATCGGTTTGTGAGCGCATGCAGTTATTCACAATCGCAAAATCTCACGAAAAGAAACTATGTAAATTGAATGCAATCGGAGGCAACGAGTTATCTGCATATAATCGGAGGAGCTATCTGACCCAATCATTTGATGCTTATTTGAAAAATTCACCCTCTACATGTTTTATTTAATGAATAATTGTGTTTTTGTATGAGTTACATCTTCCTGCGTGATCTGGGCCTATATCTGACCCGAATCCCCAGATGCATAACATAAAGCAAATTATCATTCCGATTTAGGGGTCAATTGCAGCCCACGCAAATAGGGGAGAAGTGTGGCGTTTCATAATTTTTTTGACTAAATTTGTAAAAACCAGAACAACACACTGCAAAGCTTGTACCAAATTGAACGTACACAAAGGGAAAATGAATAACGTTTTTGAAACAGAGCATCCTTGCATTCGTAACTGGTGGTCTGAATATATTTCATGGAAGGCAGTGAGTTCCGTCTAACATTAGGTACCAAACCATCGTCGTCCGTGTATAGAATACATACTGAATTCCTTAGAAAGTCAAACTTAATTTCTCAGTGAGTCTTTATTTTTTAGTTGCTCTTTCTTCTTAAGATATGAATGATTAAAGAAGAGCTTCAGAATAACTTTTCGTCATTCCAGCGGATCGAAATTCGTAGTTTTTATCCACTCACCAAAACCTCACAAGGTAGTTTGTTCCCTGTGTCCTCAAACAGCTCTGCTTGACCCTATTCCATATTTCGGGCTATTCTCCTCATATTAGTTTATTCATTATATGAACAAGAAGAAAATAGGACAGACATTAGGCAAGAGAAAATAGACCGACAATAAATACAAAGTCAATTCCGAACAGTCGTGCGTATAGTTGATATTGATTGAACAGAAAATAAAGAAAAGAAGACTATGACAATAGAACCATAGGAAAACCGAGCAAATGTTTGAAAAAGAACGAAACTCGAACCGATCAAATCATTTTACACAAACAAATTCAAATTGAACTAAATGGAGCGGTCCCGACGAAAAAACTGTGCGACATAAACATTTAGAAAATATTAACAGTTCGCGAAAAAATTATTAATGCTGTATGATGATATAAGACTGGTACTCTCTTCTACACTGCAATCACTGTTTATGAAAAAACGCGCACATTAATTTGACGATTCCGGAAATAGTAAATTCGTCATTCAAATGAACTCATTAGAATGTTTTTCGCCGTGACCGGTTGGTGGCACGCTCGAAGATTAGTTAGGATTTTATTTCGTGTACAATATGTGCACTAGGAAACGGCATATTTGAATAAAGTAATCGGTGAAGAAATGAGATGCAACCTGGTATCAGAAGAAATAGGGATTTCTAGAGAAGATAAGATAAATTTATACGGATTCAGGCAGCTAATTCTTCAGATTTGACTATCGAGCAAAAGCTTCGGTTCGCCAATGAACAACAGGCTTCACAGGAAAACGCAACTTAAAACAAATTGGAAGTGCCATCGGATTATGCTTCATTACTTCACCGATTACTTTATTCAAATATGCCGTTTCCTAGTGCACATATTGTACACGAAATAAAATCCTAACTAATCTTCGAGCGTGCCACCAACCGGTCACGGCGAAAAACATTCTAATGAGTTCATTTGAATGACGAATTTACTATTTCCGGAATCGTCAAATTAATGTGCGCGTTTTTTCATTCCAGGCTGAGAATAGATCCGTTTTCATGCATCCAGTTGTGTTGTGCGTTTCGGTCGAAATATGCCGAAGCATGCAGGACAATTGAAAATCCTATTCAAAATACTTCAATTTACCAACAGCGACTGAGTTTCATGAAAATATAAATAAATGATGGTAATGGAGGACAGACGGTGATTAGGATTTGACTTTGAAATATTACTTCTAGCCCCCGGTTTTCGGGAAAACAGCCTAAACAAAGAAACCGATGAATGCAATAACATTCATGTTTTAACCCGATTGATTGGTCTGTATTATACTAAATGCATATTACTTTTTGTAAGCCTTTCCCCTCATGTTTCCATTTTCATTTCATATGGACTGTTCCCAGGCCGGTGCTAAACAGATGTATATATGTATACTTGCACATATACGTATATATATATATATTTATATATACGTATAAATGTATGTATGTATATTTATATATGCCACGGACTTTCCATAGTGGCAACGCTTATAACAGGATATGGAAAAGGGGATCTGAGCACAATAGAGAAACGGTGAACAAATTGAACAAGGAGAACAGTGTTTTTGTGTTTGTTTCACCATGCGATGTTTGACACTTCTTACTTTTCCATCTGTTTGTGGATCATAGAATTTCAACAGCAGTCGCGCACCAGACTTCAATTGGGGACCATATCTTTTAGCGTCTCTAACCAACGGCACTGCTGATCCGTTGGCTTCTAATCTGAAAGGCGGGTGGTGCCGAATGAAGTCAATGCTGAAGCTGCTTCACAGCCTCTATGTCAAATTTTAGTGTGACCGCTATGAAACATCGATTGGCACTGCCGGAACGTGCCAACAGAGGTCAGAATGGTAGACGATGAGTAGACATACTCTAAAACCGTATCCGAGTTCATTTTCAATGACCATTTGCATCAAACTAAGGTACATTCAACCGAAAAAACATAAACAGTGATTGCAGTGTAAAAGAGAGTACCAGTCTTATATCATCATACAGCATTAATAATTTTTTCGCGAACTGTTAATATTTTCTAAATGTTTATGTCGCATTGTTTCATCACTGTCACCCCTTCAGTTAATTCACTGCACAGTTTGGTTAGGTTGTGTATGTTTTCCGCCGAGGTATATCGCTTCAGTCTTATGCTGAAATGCGCGGGATATGTGGTCCGCAACAGGCTTGCACCAATGTTTTGTGCCCTATCGTGTAAATGCAGAATGAAAAACGGTCCGATCACTTGCCTAGTAGCCGAGTGTGTCGCATGCTTGCGTTCTACCCATGAGATCTCGGGTTCGATCTCGATATGGTGGATAGATTCATAGTGCTGATGAAACCCAATCAAATCTTAACTGCTGTTTAGTGCTTCCTAGCTTTCTTATTTACGTCTCATTTGCTATATACACGACGAATTCCCATTTGAAATGTAATCAACTCCTCCATTTCTCACATGAACGAAGTAACCTAATAAATGTAAAGTAGCCCAAACACGTGGTTTATTACAGATGCGTTGTGTACATGCTACGGCATCGATTGTCAGTCGCACGTGAAAAGTTCGTGCGTGAGAACCAGACTGATTTTGACCAGTTCGAGACTGTATCCATTGCATCTTCACTCATCGCAAATTCTGAAGCACTGGCATTGTTTTTGTAGATCCACCCTTCTGTCCTCGATCTGTAGATGGCTTCCAGTTCAGTCGACCGCTGTAAATTCTGGCGCTGCGTTTTCCTAACTGATAGACTTTATTTCAGTATCAAGATCCATTTATGCTAATAGCCGACTTTAATTTCGAGTTTACTGCACTTTTTCGCCCTAGTTCACCAGGGAATATAGTGTCTTGGACCTGGTTGAATCTGTTTGCCACCCTCCACACGGTCCACCCCAACAGTCTATCTAGTCACCTCTCCCTCAGGTGTCTTGACCCGTACGTAATATCGAACATCAGACATGCACTTAATTTCATCCCATTTCTTCGTTCGCCCACCACACTCGATTATCCCCCCCCCAACCCTCTCTTTCTCGTGACCTGGATATGGTCTGACTCACCATGTCCTATTACTATCGTATAGAGTTATCTGATCTCATTCGTATTGGTCCTCTATCTCACCCATACGTTGCCCTGCCCCATGTGCGCTTCGAAGTTATTTCACTTATCGCCTGTCCGTTTGACGGAGTGGCGAACTCCCTCGTTCGCATCTTGGTTCTCGATTGGCATTGCTTATTTCGCCGGGTTCAGTCATACCCCTGGGAAAGCCACGATTTGAGGTGTATTGTTTATGTAATTTTAGCGCCTAATATTTACAGTACCGCATACTTATTCGCAACTGTTGAAGCCGAATCAACCTCTAGGACACTTGGACTTGGCTTCTAAGGTTGCGCGTCACTCAACGTTGACCTGGATAGGTATTTAGATTTAACAGCCCTACTGTTAATC